CTGTCCTCCCGTCTTTGAAATGAAACTTTAATGCGTTTAGATGTAATTATTTAGTTATGTTCATTTAATATAATAAACAATGAAGCATAAACAAAATGAGGGGTGTCTGTTTTGTCTGTTTTGTGACTAACGTTTCTTTAGTATTGCTATAGAGTATAAAAAAACAATATAAATTCTCGGTATAGCATTGGAGTCTACAATCGGTGAAAGTAATCCAGCATCCTTAGACCTTCACCGGAATTACCGCCGTGCATTAGAGCCCATTGACCCAATTCTCACGTCACACCTCCGATTTCTCACACTGAAGTGTCAACCAGGTTGGTAAAATGTCTGAAAGATCAGTTTATCTATAGATCTACCTGTTGAGCCACTCATGATTGACTATTTATGGCGCTTTTCCACTGCATAGTACGGTACGGTTCGGCTCAGTACGCTTCGACTCGGCGCGGAACAGTTCGGTTCGCTTTGCGTTTCCACTGCAGTAGTACCCCTTCCAAGTGTGTGGGACTGATCGTTATTTGCGCACGCCTCTACTGCCATGACATCATCTTAAAAGCGCCACATTTTCAAACCCACAACACAGGACCAATGGAGACTATCGAGGGGATGGTGTTCCTGATTCTCGGTATGTGGTTGTTTTTAACTGCTAGACGGAAAAATGTGTTTAAAATGAGGCTGATGGCAGCAAAACAAAATACTGCTAAAAAAGTGTCTCGTGTCGCAAATCCAATGACGCTGGTAGTGACGATTCTGTCTGACCAATCAGTGATCTGCAGTGTTTCACGTCACATTTTAGTACCGGTACGGTACGCTTGGAACCTCAACAGACCAGGTACCATTTAAAGCGACCCGAAGCGAACCGTACTGTACCGTACCATGCAGTGGAAAAGCACCACAAGCGAGCCGTACCGAACCGAACCGTACCGTACTATGCAGTGGAAAAGCGCCTTTATACAGCAAATTGGTTAAAATATCTTGTAATATTAAGCGACCGTGCATGCGAAACAGTTGTTGTGCTCTAAACCGTGCGCGCGCGCGGCAAAGAGGTAAGCGAGTGAGAGACCTTGTGTGTGTGCACAATACCCCAAATATACGCAGTGTTCAAGAACACACTATACGCTAAAACTTCATTTTGATGATTTGACTAAACGGCTCACCATAGCCAGTGCTATTTATGTAGTTCATTCAGTTTAGTGTTACAGATATATCACTTATTAGATACATTTTAGATACGGATAGAATGTTACTTAAAAGGTAGTAGAAAGCAAGGCAGATCATGTTGTTTTGGAATAATCTAGAATAAGGCTAATATATTGGCTAATACTTGTAGGCTAATTTCTACAAGTGTGTGTTTCTGCTTAGTGCGTGCGACTTGCTTTCTTTTTCTCTCTGTTGACAGAACACCCCCCTGTAACCCTACTGGATTACCTCACCACTTGATGCCATGTGGCGACCTAATTGCTATAGCAACGGCATGTTGCCACAGTGTGCTAGGGTATTCGAGGAGTCAGGCTCTTGGAGATGTGACAGGCTCCTCACAGCACAGAAATGCTCTGACGCAGAGCGGGTGAGGTTTTTACACAACACACTGACAAGAGGAGCAGTCTGTGAATAGCACTTAACATCCAGCTAACCGCTTCTAACACTTTTAACATGCAATAAACCATAAACAATTCCTGCTGGAGGAAGGTTCCTCAAGGTAAACATGGTATTAACATCCATCTTTAGGTGATTCAATCACAAATGATCACATGAGATGGTTGCCAATTACACAGAGACATTTCTCAAAATAACATCTTTTATGTTTATTTTAGTTTCACTGTTAAATGTCATAATTTTTATTTTATTTTTAATATATGAAGAGTTCAGATGCAAAAGCCTCTAAATGCCATTTGAAATTTTCTTCTTTATTGATGATTTTTATCAAACTTATATATTTAAGTTCAGTAATTTCACTTAAATAACAATTAATAGGTAATTATCATTGCAATTTAAGTGAAATCACTGAGCTTAAATATACAAGTTTGATAAAAATCATCATTAAAGAAGAAATTTTCAAATGGCATTTAGAGGCTTTTGCATCTGAACTCTTCATATATATATATATATTAATTTTAAAGTTTTTTTATTTAAAAAAATATTTGTTTTTTTAAATGCCTATTATCATTTTACATTTTTATCTGTTTCAGTTATTTTAGTACAAACATTTTATATATGCATATATAACAAACTTAAACTGAAATAATAAAATGCATAGCACACATAAAAACTGAGTAAAATATTCCATGTATAAATGGATTGTTTTACTCCATATTTGTGTGTGCTATGCATACTGATGCTTAAGAGAACAGTGCCATCAAAAAATAATCTTTTGTGTTCCAATGAAGAAAGCTGACATGAAGTTGAGTAAATGCAATAGATCCTCTTAAAGCTGCAGTCCGTAGCTTTTTTGGGGTTAAAAATTATCCAAAATAATATTTGAGAAAAATATTATTACATAACCAGCCAGTGTTCAAAACTATCTGCTTGCCTTAGCTCCATTCGTAAGCTTGTAATAATGTTTTTAATTCCAGTGCTACTGGTGGATTTCCGCAGGATTCGAGCATGTCTTTGCGTGATTACGTCACATCTCTACACAAAGGAGGAGTCTCGGCTAATAGGCTATATTGCGTGTGAGGATGTTGGAGGTGGAGATTTAAAGCCTTTTCTCACAGCACTTGATATAATAATTAAACTTATCAGTTTGATGACAGATCCAGAAAGGTTCAAACGACAATTACAGTGACAACAGATTCACCCGCTGTAAAATGCAAAAGACTTCGTTCGGACTTTGGAGTGGCTACAGAAAAAAAGAGACAGCAACCGGACCCATGCGGATACAATATCGGAAGGACATTACATGTAGTCATGCAATGCTTGCTTACATTGTTAACATTAACAATTTGACAACAAAGTATAATTTGCACGGTTATGCGTGATATGATAACTTATAAGCGATTGTTAGATTTAATCAGCATGATTTACTGCAATCTCAGAACCAGAACAAAGATGGATGTTTCTTACTAGTTCAGATGACATTTTCCAAAGAAAATTCTTATGTTGGTCATACTTTCAAAAAGAATAATCTGTGATTCTGAATGACAGTATCCACACCAGCGCGCTGACTGACAGCCTAACACTCTCCTCAAACATTGTGTTCATCCACGCTGTGCCATGTCAAGGGTGTTGAAGAACAGCTCACTTGAAGTTGATAATTCCACGAATGACTGCAATTGCAGATTTTGAACAGAGATGGCGACAAAGAGGGGAAACGCCGGAATGCAGCTTTTATTCCAAGCTCCCATATCAGTAGGTTTTGGAACAGAAAATGTTAATATCAAGTGTAAACGGGCTGCCACTGGTCATACAAAATAGCAAGAGCATCCTAGTACTGAAAACCAACAAAACCAATGACAAACAGAATCTGGGATGCACCAAAAGCTTTAGTGTGAAAGCACCCTCAGACTGAAAGAAAGCTAGAGAAGGGCCAGCTGTGTGAACTTTGTGAGTCAGAATACTAGGAAGCGCAGAGGGACTTAATTCTTAACCATAGGGAGGAGAATGTGAACTGTAAATCCTTTTGGGCTTCTCTCTCATCTCTTCCATCTTCCATCCGTCCATCCATACCAACATCCTTCTTTTGATTCCAAGCACATCTACAATTATTCTCACTCCTCCATTCTGTCTTTTCTGTCTCTCTCTCTCTCTCTCTTTCTACCTCCTTCTCCTCTGTCTGCATGATGATGATGTTTTTTCCTCCTTTTCTCCTGCATGGCTTGCCTCCTGCCTCCCTCTCAATCGCCCCAGACAGCAAACCCCACACGTCTTTGATTCTGCGCTTGAAAAATGAAGATGGTGAACTTCAAAGAGAATGTTCTTCTGCTGATGCGTACCAGCCCACTCAACCTCTCTCCCGTCATTTTATCTGCCCGATCTTTTTCTCTCTCTCTCACTCACTCACTCTTTCCATCTTTCTTTGTGTGTTTCTCTCTGTACTGTGTGTGAAAATAGTGCTACCTCCCTCTCTTGCTCTGCCTTTCATAAATACACATGCACATACACAAAACGTACATACAGATAGTATCAGATGGTAATACCATGTTATTTTGACATATACTGTACCATGTAGGTTTTGTGGCACTATTTTTTCCCTTCACATTATTTTAGCATCCAACTCTGACTGAACTACCTTAATAGCAGTTTGATTTGTGTGAAAATTAATGTGTGAGGTTCACTTTGATTTACACATATTTGTGATCACAAAAGTATTAAGATAGAAAACAGTCATTTTCAAATTGTAATAGTATTTTTTTTAAAAAAAGTTTCTCTCTTATTTTGTGTATGCATTTGTATGTGTGTGTAAATGTCATCAACAAAATTATGCACGTTCTGCTGGTAATTATTGCAAAATAACCCCCTTCATGATAATATTAGACCACTCTTTTTCAAGTGTGGGTCCTGATTACCCTATCAAGGTTTATTTTTCGTCTCTACATTATTTCTTACGTATTTGTTATGTGCTGATAATGTATAATGTAATTGTGCTGTTGTACCCATTAGTTCATATCTTCTCTATATTCTCTGCATCTTTTCCTCCCTCAACGTCTAGCTGCCGTTTGCTCTTTCGCTCTTAGAGTTTGTCCTTAAATGTGTTTGTGCATAGCCAGAGATAAGTATGGCATAATCCCATCTATACTTGCCACGCCAACCTGCTGAGCACTTTTACATAGTTTATTTTTACCTGCCTCTCTCTCCTTCAGCTGTCAGTCAAAGCCGAGAAGACGCTCGACTCCTGCCTCATTCTCCCAGTCGCAATCAAGACACACACTGTCTCTAATTACAGAGCCTGTAAACCTGTCGTTTCAGAACCACAGTGTGACACAGATACGCGGTGGATGTCATAAACTCTTACAGTACAAGTCAGTGAGAAACAGCTAGGAGCAAAAAGCGAAGCAGGTTACCTCTAAAGTTGACGTGAAGCAGAAAGTCCCGGTAGAGTTTCCTGCCGTCGACACTGCGCATGGCATCGCACAAGCGTGTGGTGTTGGCGCAAAGAGTACGTTGCATGCGGTGCAAGGCGTGCGCCATGGCATACACAGCATTTACGACAAACATAATCTTTGATTCTGGCTCAAAATTTGAGCTGTCCACAGCCAATTCTGGGTCACAAGGTGGCTTTTGGGTTCCCGCCCCTGCTGCCGAAACCCAACCCAATGAGCACTGAAACTTTTGCTCCCAGAAGTCTTTGAACCATGGGTTGCGATGATTATTAAGGGGTGTGAGGGTCTGGAAGTAGTGGTTGAAATCTGGTAAAGGATGAGCCGCTAGCTCCAGCGTGATCGCCCCGTCCGCCGTGAATTCGTTCCCTTTGACGATGCTCTCTTGCGCCCCCCAGCCATCGCTTGCTACCCAGAGAAAAGATGCATTGAGGCGTCCGGCGGCCGCGATGAGTTCTCGAGCGTCGTCGCTACGCAGAAAAAGCACGGCCACACGGGCTGTGGGCTTCTGTAGGAGCTGACGAATCACTGCCTCGTAAGAAGACCGTTTCGCGCTTGATCGGCCCACTTTTTCAGACGTAGCGATGCAGATGTTTCTCAAACGGGCTTGCTGCTCAAAGGCTTCGATCCCGGTCTCTCCGTAGTCACCCTCGGAGGCAACAGTGGAAACATAGGTCCAGTTGAAGGCACGCAGGATTTCCGCCATGGCCTTGGCCTGGTAGAAGTCTGGAGGGACGGTGCGTGCAAAATAGTCGTAGCGGGTTTTGTCGCTGAGTTTGGCACTGGTGCTGGCGTAGCTGATCTGAGGGATCTGAAATAGCCGGAGCAAGTTGGCAACCTGGGAGAAAAACACACAAATACAGTATTGCATTACAAACCCATTCGATCAATAAGTCAGCACCTCATGAATTAATTATCCAAAGTCTATGATACAAAAAATATTCTTTTTTTTTAGTCATTTGATTGGATCAAGCCACATTAGCCCAATTAAGAGAATGCAGACAGTCTCAGCAGGGCTGAGCATCTTGGAAATGTTTTCTAAATGTGCAGAAATGCACAGGGTAATGTCTCTGTTCCTGCATAACACTGACACTTGCATGATTCTCACGACCAATTCGTACAAATTCGTACAAGTGATTAAAAAGTGGCTAATTCGTACTAATTCGTACGACCTCACTCGTACAAATTCGTACGATTTGTCTAACCCATGGGATGGGTAGGTTTAGGGGTGGGGTCAGGGGTAGGTCATTCGTACGAATTCATACGAATTGGCCAATTCGTAAAATATGTACGATTTAGCAAAAATCTTACTAATTCGTACGAGTGAGGTCGTACGAATTGTTACGAATTAGCCACCTCGTAAAATTCGTACGAATTCCTGTGAGATCGGGTTGATTTTTTTTATGTCAAAGCTAGAACATCAGTTGCTTTTCAGTGCTGCTGTATGTAATTTGGAGTTTTTGTGTGTGTGTGTTTTGGGATGCTAAATATGTTCAACATTTAATGAAATATTATGAATATTTGAATACGTAATGAATATTTGCTAAATGATCAAAAACAAACAAAAAAAGAGTTGCTGTCACTTTCTTGATTTTCAGGTGTAAGTAGAGGTTAAAAATCATTTTTGAACATAAAAATATAATTTTATATAATATAAAATTATAGAATTTTGAACAATTTATCAGGGCATTTTATTCCAATGACAAAAAAATATTTTAGTAATCTCAAATCAAATTATAATAACTTCCTTTTCCTGACACTAATTTCCTGCATTGCTGACATCACTGAGTCCATGTGTCCTATTGGATATCAGTAACCAGTAGCCAACTAACTATTTAGATATTGTTTTTTAGTAAACTTGCATTCTGTCCGTCTTCAGTCTGGTATGTAACACCCATTTTACCAAATGAATAGGTTATTCAATGAGAAAAAATATAGGGCAGGATTTGATTCTACGGCACTCTGAAATACACAACCATTTAATAGTTTGGAGTCTGTAAGATTTTTAAATGTTTTTGAAAGAAGTCTCTAAGACTCATCAAGGGTGCATTTATTCAAAAATTATAAGTACTGTAGTATTGTGAAAAATACTAATACAATTTCAAATAACCGTTGAATATATTTCAAAATCATTTTCAGCATCATCACTTCAAGTTTTCAGTGTCAAATGATCCTTCAGAAATCATTCTAATACAGTATGCTGATTTGCTGCGAAATGAACATACATTATCATTGTAACTTATTGTTATCGATGTTTAAAACAGTTGTGCTGGATTAACAACGCTATTTTTGAGCTGCAACTCTGTGTGTGAAGAAAATCTCTTGTGTTGAATTTAGGGCAAGTAAACGCGAAAATAGCGATATTTTCACATTTAATTGCCCTAAATTCAACACGAGAGATTTTCTTCATACACAGTATGAGTTGCAGTCTGACACGTTTTTCCGAGCCCTTTTGATTGACGGGATATAATCAGCCCTGACCATTAGCTGTTATTAAAAAATTGGCCTTTACCGATACCGATTATTGGCCATACTGTCATGGGTTGGTTCAGAGAAGACAGGAGAAGAACGTAGACACTTTCTTTAATCGTAGAGACTCAGAATAAACAAGAACAGGTGACAGTGTGTCGACCACGAAAAATACCGGACAATGAACTGAATGCAGACAATAAATACGATAATAAATACAAAATTAAGGATAATTTTTGGCTTCAGATCTCAAGAAAAGATGACTTTACCCGTAGCGTAAGCAACTTGCGCAATACGAAAGAACCTCTTGTAAGAGAACTTTGTTTACTGGGAGGAATCCCCCAATAGAAAAAAATTGGAAAATTGGAAAGTATTTTATCCCTTTGAACTCTAAAAAATAATGTAACTTAAAAGAATATGGAGGAAAAAGGAAGTGTACACAGAATCTCAAGAGAGAGTCTGCCAGATTGAGGGAGACAGGACGTCAAACAACAGCCAGTGTCGTGAGAAAAAAAAAAACAATGCCCAGTCGTTGGCGATGAAAGGAGAGCAATGGATAATACAATGGTTATCTAAACAGAGACCACTGTGAGGTCACAATTCTCCTAGCTCTTTGCCAGAAACAGAGCAATATCGCTAAATAAAACTGCAGGGAGATGGGGGAAAAGAGTGACAGAGAACAAGAAAAAAGAGAGAGAGAGAGAGAGTGAACAAGAAGAAAGGAGGGTTAGACAGATTACGGATTTTGGAACTGATAGAGGAAGCTTTTGCTGAGCCACGAATGGGGAGAGGGTTATGCAAAATTATGCAAATTCCCATGGCTCTGTCACCAGTGATAGTAGAAAGCATCAACGCACAACACACACAATAGTAGCTGCAGTGCTAATCCATGCACATACATGAGGAAAGGAAAGAGCAAACTGGATTTACAGGGGCGAAGAATGGAAACGGGGGTGGCGCAGAGTTTTATTTGAGGGCGGCCCTTTAAATAATGGATTGGGTTCTTTATAGTTGGTCAGGGAAAAGAGCTGTGTTGTTTTGCCAAGTGGGTTTCTGGAGGATAAAGAACAAATTTGTGATTCACAAAGCGGAACCCGCGAATAGTTCAGAAAAAGTATTAATTCATCCAAACTTTACACAAATAAAAGAGGTTTATTTATGTGACTGTACTCAAAACGTGAACTTAAAAGTGAAGATCTTAAGGGAGGTTATGTTACAAAGACTGGATTTCAGTTTCTTGTTCAAAATAAGCTATTTGTCGTTATCATTTTTAACTTATAAAATGGAAATTTAATCCATTTGTTTTGGGACTATATGGGAAGCAATATAAATAATTTTTAGAAACAAATTTATAAAATGAATGAAATACTGTCTGTTTATTTAATTTAATTATATTTCAATTCAATTTAATATAAAAATAGGGTTGTATTTCTTGTTGAATTCCATAATGTTTGAATTCCACTTTTAACATTTTCAATTGTATAGTAAAATTCCATCAAATTTAATTGTATAATCCTTACATATTTTTCATGTTATGGATTTAGAAGAACTTTAAATGAGTGTAAATCTTAATGGAACAACGGAATGGACCATTTAGTTTATGTGATTTGTTTTCATAAATTTAAAAAAAGATATATGTTTAAATTTATGAACTAATTATGAATGAGTTGAATCTTATAAACTGCTCATTACTATCATTAATGTAAAACATATGTTGTCATGACTTTTTTTTACAGTACAGAAATTGTAAAATCGTTTAGGTAGAAATTATGTAGACATAGCATATAGTATATTTGTAAAACCTTGTTAAAATAGGCTGATGCATGTGGTCTGATAAGCATGTGCAAATACGTTCCAACAAATAATTGTTTTGGTTTGGTTAAATCTAGCAAAGCTTTTCTCTTTACCTCATTAATTATTTTTAACTGTTTATGTATTCTTCATGACTATTTTAGATCAAATTGACTGGTTCTAACCTGTATAGAGACGCTGCTAAAAGATCCCCCAATGACACCAGTTATGGCCAGCGGACTGTCTTCCTGAAGTGCGTAGGAACCATCGGGACAGATGAACTCTGTATCATCCACTTTTGTAAGCGAGGCCCTGACGAACTCCAGCGCCTGCTCCAGAGCGTAGGTGTCCCTCGAGCACGTGTCCAAGATGTGGACGCCCAAAGCCACGCCCGGCAGCAGACCTACGTCCTGGTTGATCTGATCTATTGCAAAGAGCATTGCCTCAAGCCGCTGGATGCCACGGTCTTCGTTGATCCGACCACATTCGTCTATGCCCATGCCCTTCTCATGGATGGGGAAGAGGCCTCCCAGAACCAGGTCCCCATCAATCTTAATTTCTCGGCGGGGAGTGTCTCCGCTGGAAAGCAGGATCTCGGCACCCAGCATCACCAGGAGCAGAGCACGGACCGCGGACCACATCGTTTAAGGGAAGAAGATTGAGGAGGTGTTACGGTCAGGTGGGGAGATAGAGGGTGAAAGGTGGGCGTCAAGGAACTGACAGAGGCATGAAGGGGCAGCAGGGAGCTCTGTCTGGTTACTCATGGAGATCCACAGCACTGGGTTCAGCCTTTGAACTGCTGACAAACAGACAAAGAGAAGGAGACACTATAAGGCAAGGAGAAAGCATTGAAATGTGAGAAATCATTTTTGCTATTTTGTTTAGTGAAGGCACATAAACTGGACCAGACTGAAAAATACAGGCTGTTCTTAGTCTAATTTGAGCAAAAGAATATATATATATATATATATTTCAAGATGTAAGTGACACGTAAGCATGACAGTTCTTTAGTTATTTATTTGGATTTTTGGGTGGTTTTACTACAAAAATGACACAAAATCATACCCCTCAAATGTGAATTTTGAAGAAATCCATGGGTTAATTTTTTTCCTACTTTTCTTCCAGGTTTTTGGACTACCACCTGAACAGCTCTACCTGTATGGAAAATATCTACCTGAGACTCAGACTTTAACGTTAGACATTTCAGGGCTCTCCTGTGCTTTACAGGGTCAGTTAGTTCTCTGTAATCACGGTGTTCTGTTCTTAGAGTTGAAAGAAGATTGTCTGCAAAACCAACTTGCCAAATACATAACAGGCCCGCTCGCACAAATAAACCTCAACAAATTCACCCAACGCCAACTCCTCTGCACTTTCCGTTTACCTTTATGAACAGATTTGTCAAAACAGATTCTCAAGAATGGAAAACACATGAGAAACATAAAGCAGAGGCTCAAACATTGAGCTGTAACTGTTGAGCTGATTGAAAAAAGAAAAAAACATTTTGTCCACTGATAGTGCTGTTTATTATTTAATTATTTAAATTGGTAAAAAATATTGGTAATTATTTAAATTGGTCATTTTTTTAACCCTTGATTCACTAAAGGAATTATGCTACTCAGCTAATAACGTTAACATTACAAAATCAATATAATACATACACAGGTCTCTTTTGAACAGATTTCCAAATTGTAAATTACACCCAAATAATATATTTGCTGCTTGTTTAATTTACTTTATTACACAATTATTTAACATACTTCATTAAACTGTGCGGAATAATTTTATGATGTTTAAGACCAGCGCAGATAGTGCCTGGTTCTGAATTTGTGAGTTGTCGGTAAATCCAATTTAAACACAATAAAATAAAAATACAGTGGTATGGTGAATTTGGATGAGAAAATCCTGATTGGGTGAGAAACTATTGTAATGCTAAACCCATTGTGTTCTAATTATGTAGCATCTCTCCTCCCCGGGTTAATGGAGCTCAGATAACAAAAATATAAAATCCTAAAAATTAAATCCTGCACCTGCAACTTGTAGAAAATGTACTGTACAAATAAAGCCGCCCAATAAATAGCTTCTCAAAGAGCAAAGCGGAAAGCACTAATTGTCAAATCTGATGCCGGGTATGTGCCTCTCTCCATTTGAAGTAAAGTTCTGAAACCGTGCAAAAGGCAGCCTTGATATCTAAGCCTGGGTTTTGATCTTAGGGCTTGGGGGAAAAAAACGTCCCTAATCTGATTTCCTCTTCCACGTTTCCTTGCAGATGGGTGGGCGAGCGCAGGCGGCGGCTGCGATGGGGGGCAGATTTATGAGGTGTGCGAGAAGGCTTGCTGGGTTTCCACGGCTCTGGCAGCTACACAAAGCCTCACAGCCTGGCCAGGAGATGGCTCAAAGGCTGGATAACACTCAACTGCAATGATGCTATCTCCACCGTGCAATGCAACACAAAGCAAAACACGCAGGCCTCTGGCAGCTTCACACTAAGGGCAGCTTTCCTCATTATCTTCTTCCACCGTGATTCAGTCTGCCAGCCAAACAGCAACAATGGTGCTCTCGCTGGGCAAAAGCTATGCTGCCGCCACCGGTTTAAAACGTCTCCACTTGCTTGAGTTCTTCCTCTCTCTCCTGAGTGGGTCAGTGGGAGATCTGGAGGGCCGGAGGAGAAGGGAGGGTGAGTGCTTTCTGCTTTGATGACAGACTCTTGGACTCTTTAGAGGTGGACTGGTGTTGTTTTAGCACACTGAGTCTCTGTGGCCCCACCGGGTGAGAGGAAATTCAGGCCGCTTCCCCTCTCGCACCCTCACAACACCCTCACAAACTGAGAGAGAATGCGAGGAGAATGTGTGAGCGGCCCTGTCAGACATCATCCACTATGAGGCGAATGGGATGCACTGTGTATATATATGCACTTTCTATATCCATCCATCCTGTAAACCCTTGACTTTAAAGGTTTTAAACTTGTTAAAAAGTCTTTGTCGTGTACATTTAAAGTTTGTCAAACTTTTCTAGTTAAATATTACTGTTGAATCTCTTTGCATTTTAACTTTCTTTCATTCATTAAGAATTGTAATTTAAAAAGCATTCTCAGTTCAATTCTGTATGGTGAATGAGAAAATCTCTTTCTATGTTGGGATAATTTCATTTTTAAAATGTCGAGGACATAAATGGGGATTTGAAAAATAAACTCAATCAACAAAGATGCTTGGAAGTTATGCACGATTAATCAATGCACATTATTTCAAAGAAAAACATCAACATTTCATATCATTCTGCTTCTGAAAAGACATTCTTTTTTGTTTGATGTCAGTCTTTTTTCAGTCTCAAGCTTATGTAGCCCCGCCCCTTTTCAGCGCTGCTCGTTTTGCGCTCATTTTTTGACTTCCGGTATGTATTTCACAGCGATCTTATATAGGTATGAATGAAAAATTCGGGCGACATTTGTAAAGACATCTGCTTTACAATGCTTATGATAAACATTACAATGCTCATGATAACTTTTGTTAACTCCATAATAAGTAAATCCACTTCACCAGCTTATTACTCCTCAGCCGCGATGCCACAGCGACCGCAAAACCGGAAGTTCCAATATTCTAAAGATGACGGCGCCCACGTTTTCATGTTCCAATCAATTCCCAATAGATAAAAGTAGGCTACAGCATTGCTTTCTTGCTGGATATCCTGCTTCTCTCAGAAATGAGGTATGGGTTGAAAACATTATTTTGTGATGATTTTAAACATCACACACATTCAACATGTTGTTAAAAATTAGAGCACAAAAATGTAACCATGATTAAATATTTTTCTGTAAACTTGTCTGTCTTAAATGTTAAATCAGTGGAAAAATAATAACCAGCTGTATGTTATTGTATACACAAAGGGAGCTCCTGTGCATAATTTGTGCTAATGAATTATTTACATTCTCTGCTAAGCTGGATTCTAATTTTAAGAACAGGTGTTGGCATGTAAAAAAAGTTCTCAGAGTAGGCAGTTATGCATTTCAGAACCATCTGAATTTTTAAAATCTGACTAAAAACCAAATTGTATAGTGCACCACTTGGGTCATTTTCTCATGAGTGCCGTAACTCACAGAGGCAGAAAAAAGTGAACCACAACAAAATCTATGGTCAAACTCATCCTTGAACATATTCAAATTAGTCTTGAAATTGATCAAAATGCTATCAAACAATATCTGATTTGGACCTATTTCCCCCGAGTACATTAACTTCTCAGCAGTGGGAAGTCGCAGGCATTTTCGTTCCTTCCCTCAAACACCTACTGTAGCCTATCTTTAAGCAGTTCCTCTTGGCTGATCATGTTAATTAGTTAAAAGGGGTAGGACAGAAGAGTAGTATGAGGCGTTTTTTTGGGTGCAGAGAGGCTCAGGATTTAATTGGATTTTGCTCGCAGGCAGTTCCTTAACAGCATGCTTAAATCAAACAATCAGCTCAAAAAAATCAATTCCAAATTCCTGTGCCAAAAAAAGGAATGGAAAAAATACTACCTTTAACCTTTCATTACAATGATTGTCTTCATCCGTGAAAACTATGAAATTTGTTTTGCTTGCTTCAAGAGACTAAAGTGAGTGTGTTGCAACGTGTTTTAAAGAAGAACTCTATTGTAGTGGTGCAATTATGTGAAAATAGTCTTTATTGGAGAGAGTCTGGATCCTCCTGGGACAGCATACTTTCTATTAAATTGCATACTTGTGCTTGTATAAGAATTAAGATATAATAGCAAGGCTCAACAGTAAGAACGACCCGGGGCGAATATGAGGGCGTTTCAGACCGGTTGACAGAACTGTCACTTGCCAGGGCTGTATTATCACTGTGTTTTAAGTTTGTTGATCATGTGCATGTGTTTCTCTTACGAGAGGTTCTCTCGTATTGCGAGAGATATTTTTCTTTTAGAGATATTAAAGCCAAAAAAATTATCCTTAATTGCATTCATTGTCAATGCAGTGCAAGCAGCTAAGCAGACCTAGAGCAGGCTGTCTAGTGTGCTCATAGGCTGCCCTGCGGGAACTGCAGCAGCCTACCACTGAGCCCGACGTGACATCACGTCCAATGAAGGGCGCTCGCGCCTTCACAGCGTCATAGCCCGCCAGTATGGGTGTGGCTTAGCGTATATAAGCAGGGCTCAGAGGCTGATTCTCTGGTTTTCATCTCTTCAGCGAAACTCGTACCACTGGTTCAGTTTCTCGGTCCCACCCAGTGAGGCGATCAGAACCCGGAGGCCATTCAACCCCTACCTACACATATAAAAGCATGGGAAGCTATCCCAGGGGTATCAGAATGGGTGCTGATTACAATAAGACGAGGCTATACGCTACAGTTCAATGTGCCCACTGCAACGCTGGCTGAATGCCCATGCGTCTCACCGGGCCTAGACCACCGGCTGCAAACGAACCTGAGTGACTCAGAGCGCAGCCCTGGTTAGTAAGCGACTTGTATCAGCGGGGTGTGATGGTGGGAGCTGTCTCATATCGAAAAGTCATCTCGACGGATGCGTCCAACTCAGGTTCCCACTCTTCGAGGGCAGACCGACCTTCGGCCTTTGGTCAGACCAGGAGAAGCTTCTCCACATAGACTGTCTGGAAATGTTGGCGGTCAGGATCGCGCTGAGGCGTTTCCTCCCATTTTTACAGGACCACCATGTTCTAGTCCGTTCGAACAACATGTCTGTAGTGTCCTACGTGAACCGTCAGGGCAGGGACAGAATGCCTCCTCGTTTGGTCTCAGCATTATCTGCGCTTGCTGAGAGCTGTCCAGTCAGCCCAGTCAGACTGTCCAGGAACAA